GTTGTGCTATAGCGGCTTGTTGAGCATGTAATATTTCGAATATCAATTGGAGGCTAACTCCACCATCTTCTCCGCCCTGCGTACCTCGACCACCTGATCGAACTTCCCTGCGTACGCTACCTTCGGGATCAACGCCCAAATTTGTATTTAGGGCGACATGTGAACTGACATCGACGGAATTTGCAATTGGTGCTCCCTCGAGGTCAGCCGGAGGCGCCTCGATCCCTGGGGCGGCTATATTGTCATTTTTCCCGTAAAATCCGAGGTCGTTGTCACCATGTGTAGGCGTTGCTTGTGAGTTTGACATGTTTATCCTGAAAATAAAGATTCTTACGAGATTTGATCAAAAACAGTTACGCAGCATAAACATGTCAAACTCACAAGCAACGCCTACACATGGTGACAACGACCTCGGATTTTACGGAAAAAATGACAATATAGCCGCCCCAGGGATCGAGGCGCCTCAGGCTGACCTCGAGGGAGCACCAATTGCAAATCCCGTCGATGTCAGTTCACATGTCGCCCTAAATGCAAATTTGGGCGTTGATCCCGAAGGTAGCGTACGCAGGGAAGTTCGATCAGGTGGTCGAGGTACGCAGGGCGGAGAAGATGGTAGAGTTAGCCTCCAATTGATATTCGAAATATTACATGCTCAACAAGCCGCTATAGCACAACGGCAAAATCAACACCGAACACCGAGTAGGACCGAACCATAAGTCGTCCACAGGACGGAGCATGTGCCGGAAAGGTCGAACGCCAACGAATCGGGGACTGACCCCGCCATTATGAAAATGCTTGAGGAGCTCACTAAACGGATTGANATACAACTCCCGGGTTGACTAAATACCGGGGGCACCGCCGATTCTAAAGGGTATGGATTCAAAGAAATTCGTACAGAAGCCTTTCTCTCCAAGTGCGGCTCCGAAACCCAATCCGAAGAAATTTTGAATGCCAGAAATTCCTAAGTATAATGGGACCACCGACCCTAGAGAGCACGCCACTTCTTATACATGCGCAATAAAAGGGAATGACTTGGAAGACGGTGAGATTGAATCTGTTGGTACCATAATTTGCTGCCTAATTCCATCGATTCCTTCGCCATGATTGCATACTCCTTCGTAAAGGCACATGCCAGAGCAATAAAGGTTGTGACTAGGAAGTCGGACCTCTTCAAGGTGAAACAAAAAGACAACGAAATATTGAGGGAATTCGTATCTCAGTTCCAGATGGAACACATGGAACTACCACCTGTCACAGACGATTGGAATGTTCAAGCCTTTACTCAAGGTTTGAACGAACGAAGTTCGATGGCATCACGACAACTAAAGCAGAATTTAATTGAATATCCAGCAGAAACTTGGGCTGATGTACATAATCGGTACCAGTCAAAGATTAGGGTCGAGGATGATCAATTGGGGACCCCGTCCGGTTTCGTTTATCCAAACAGACCCATCGGCAGAACTCAAAGGGATATCGACAGAGAACCCTGGTTGAACAGAGAGCGGTATCAACCATACAACGCAGATCGTAGAAACAGTGGCCCAGGACACAATCCCATCCGGAATGATCAAAGGAACGATCGAGGACAGAGCTCTCGATGGCTCATGAGAAAAAGTGGCTTCGATAAACATGCTGATCCCACAGAAGCACCACGATTATCAGAATACAACTTCAGCATCGACGCATCAAGTATTATGTTAGCCATTGGGAGAATCAAAGATACTAGATAGCCCAGACCCCTACAAACCGATCCATCCCAAAGAAACCCCAATAAAATATGCAAATACCATGGTACACATGGTCATAGAACTGAAGACTGTAGACAACTAAGGGAGGATGTGGCCCGTCTATTCAACTAAGGTCACTATCGAGAATTCTTGAGCGATCGAGCTAAAAACCATTTCAGAGACAGGGATACAAACAGGAAAAACGAGCAGGAAGAACCACGGCACGTGATTCACATGATCGTTGGTGGGGTCAATATTCCACAAGGGCCCGTGTTCAAACGCACTAAAGTATCAATCACCAGGGAAAAAAGAACTCGAGACTACGTGCCATAAGGCACTTTATCATTCAATGATGAGGAAGCAGAAGGAATCTCACATCCCCACAATGATGCTTTGGTAATCTCTATCCATATGAATAAAATTCAAGTTAAATATGTTTTAATAGATCCAGGAAGCTCGGCCAATATTATTTGATCGAGGGTCGTGGAGCAGCTCGGCCTACAAGATCAGATCGTACCCGCAACTCGGATTCTCAATGGCTTCAACATGGCGAGTGAAACAACTAAAGGTGAAATCATCCTACCAATAAATGTAGCTGGAACTATTCAAGAAACAAAGTTCCATGTGATCGAGGGCGCTTTGAGATACAACGCACTGCTCGGAAGACCCTGGATTCACAACATGATGACGATCCCCTCAACCCTTTACCAAATGTTGGAGTTCCCAACACCGGATGGAGTAAAAACGGTGTATGGGGAATAACAAGCTGCCAAAGAGATGTTTGCGGTCGACAAAGTAATACCGGTATCGGTGCTTTCGTCAACAAAGGGATCGGATTCCAAAGGAAAACACGAAGCTAAATAGCAACCACAACCACCAGTCTCGACTCAGTCGGAGAAGCAGGAAACGGACGAGGACGATGACTACTGGACCCCTCGATCCTTCATAATCCCCGAGTATTCCGACGCCACCAAATTGACAATCGAAGAGCTGGAGCAAGTCATACTGATCGAGCATCTACCCGATCGAAAGGTATACCTGGGTACGGGGTTAACCCCCGAGCTCAGTGAAAAACTCATTAAATTTCTTATCAATAATATGGATTGTTTTGCTTGGTCCCACCTAGATATGACAGGGATCCCGCCGGAGATCACTACACATTGACTGAGCTTGGATCTGAAACTCCGCCCGGTAAAACAAAAGAGAAGGCACCAGTCCGAGGTAAAACATGCATTCATCAAGGACGAGGTAGCCAAACTTCTCAAAATATGATCCATTCGGGAAGTAAAATATCCTGAATGGTTAGCAAACGTGGTCGTAGTCCCTAAAAAGGGAAATAAACTTAGAATGCGTAGACTATAAATATTTAAACAAAGCATGTCCTAAATACTCTTTTCCTCTGCTGAATATTGATCGCATGATCGATGCAACGACCGGCCACGAGATCCTTAGTTTTCTCGATGCCTACTCCTGGTACAATCAAATACAAATGAACACTAAGAATTAGCAAAAAAACATCGTTCATCACTAAGTACAGAACCTATTGTTATAACGTAATGCCATTTGGACTAAATAATACTGGTTCCACTTATCAACTCTTAGTAAATCGAATGTTCGAAGAACAAATAGGTAAATAAATGGAGGTTTATATTGACGATATGCTAGTTA